AGCCTATCAAAGAGAACATTCAAAGCTGAAGAGAGAAATGCACCACCAACTGCTAAGCCAACCTCCATTTCTGAAATCTGAAAATCAAAACAAGAATGATTTTGAGAAGATAAAATGTTTATATCTTCAATTTCCTTTACCTGTTGAATGCTAAAGAGTAACTTGCAAACAAGAATGATCACTGATTTCTCTTTCTCTCTCTCTTTTGCTACTAATGGTCTTACTTATAATTCTCTTTTCCATAATTATGACTTTTCACCCAACAACAAGAGTCAATAATGGGCTATTTTTTTTATTGGGGTTGGAGTGGGGGGAGATGGACAGCCATAGAAGGAAAAAATAATCAAAACTCCTTTCCATGAGTGTGACTTTTCAAAGGTATCTATAATTTGAGAGAATACATCAAATACTCCTAAACTTGGCAGCAAAACTTACTTGAACACTTTAATTACTTGGGCATTTAAATACTCCTTATTACAACTTCGAAGTGAATTTAAAACCACCCTTAGATTATAATACCACTCTCACTTGTCACATCATAGCCATATAAGTGACACAACATAGCCATGTCAGTAGGGTGTGCAAAAAGCGAACCAATCGATAAATCGAATCGAAAAAGTGTTGTTGGTTTATTATCCTCGAGTTATTGGGTTAACTGTTTTTTAATGGTTTTATAAAAAAAATCGGGTAATTGGTTCGGTATTGGTATTTAATATTGGGTTAAGCGATAACCCATTAAGACTATAGTAATTTACTATTTTTACCTGTACATAAATATAAATGTTAATCTCAATATCTTACTAGTTATGTCTTTGTCATTTAGCCTTCAATTCACACTTCACTGTGACTTTTTGAGTTCACAACTTCACATTATACAAACAGTTAAAACCTAAAGTAAGAACTCTGTTCCTCTTAATTTCTCTGTGTGTTACACCTGTATAGTTCTTTTCATGTTTGCTATTATTATTTCTAGTTTATGAGCATTTGTAAAGTTGCATTATTCTTGTCACGTCAAATTATCATATATTTATTTATCAGTATTTACTTATTGGTTAAACAGAAAACCGAATTGTTAAGGATCAAAATCGCTAAACCAAAAACCGATAAAAAATATCTTATTGGTTTGGTCATTGGTTTAGCATATTTAAAAACTGAAAACCAATAAATCGAACCGATAATACATAAAACCGAATTGAACTGACCGATGCACACCCCTACATGTCAGCACCACGTCATTAATTAATTTTTTATTAATTTTTTTCTTTAACGCTTCTTAAAATTAATTACACTAATTAATTAATTAAAAATACATTTTTGAAAATTAAAATTTAAAATGTGGACCCATTTTTATTCCCCCCCCCCCCAAACTGGTCCAAAATGTCCTTTTCCTAATAAATATATTAGTATATTTTTTTTTCTTTTTAACCATATTTTATTCCTAATAAAGATATTACTATTAAAGAATCCAATTTTTGTCTCTTTTCTTTTAAAATCACATTAACTAATAAATAAGTAGGAAATATTTTTTTTCTACTCTCATTTTAACCATTAAAATAGAATAACTTCATGTACCATTTTAACTGATAATATAGGTCATATATATAAGATCATAGTAACCCTATCATTAATTTTTATTTAGATAATGATAAAAAAAAAATAGAAGATATTTTTATATCTTAATCATTTCCAAATTGAAGTATTAGGATAAACATTTTCTAATTAAAAAAATCATCATCATTAGAAAAAGAATGTGCTTATAAAAAAAAATTATTTCGAAAAAGGATATTTTTGACGTATTAAGTAGCATTAGTGACATTTTTTAATCAAACTATTGACGGCAAAAACATTTTTAGACCAAACTAGTAATTGATAACTAACTCCATGTATCTTTTTAACTGATCATATAGGTCATATATATAAGATCATAGTAACCCCATTAATATTCAAAGAAAATAGAAAATACTTTTATATCTTAACCTTAATTGAAGTAGAATAAACATTTTCTAATTATAATTATCATCGTTAGGAAAATAGTTCTTTTCTTAAAAAGAAGTAACATATTTATTTCAAAAAGACATTTTTGACCCATTAAACAACATTAGGGTTACTTTTTGACCAAATGTTAACAGTAAGGGCAGTTTTAGATCATAGTATTAATTGATGACATTTTTATTCAATTTCACATAGTTAAAGGATATTTTTGATATTTTTTTATGTTCCTATTTTAAAATGGAAAAAAGGAGTTAAGAACCTATAGTTTGGCGGGGACCATATACCACCAAATTCACATATATTTCTATTGGAAATGAAATTTTCACCAACTGAGCTAAAATTTTATCGTCCATCAAGATTTTTTTGAAATTAAAACTCGCTAATAGTCGGGGCCAGATAATTCATTGTTCAAATGCTTTAAGATAGATGTGTCAAATGAGCGGATTGAATTGAATTAGGGCAAGTAAAATTGGAATGAGTTAATAAATAAACGGGTTAATAGCTATTTGGACCGAATGAGTTGAATTGAAATAAACTAAAATGCAGGTCATAACCCTCTGACTTTCTTCCACATGTACTTTACATACAGGGGCGTATCCAGAGGGGGTGTTGTCGGTTCACGTGAACCCATCTCCCCTCTCTAGATCATATATAGTAATGTTATATAGATGTGTGAACCCACGTTCAAAGTATCATATAATAATACGATGATGATTGGGTGCACCCCTCTAAGTGAGGATAGAAATTTAAATCTTATATCTATCTTGTCTTTTACTAACACTTCTCTAAGTGGTTATTGGTTACATTTTTGACGTTTCAGCTAATTATTCTTTTGTTTTTTTCCTTTAATCTTTTAAAATTTTCAAGTGTGTTACATTAAAAATCATAAAAAAATTAGCACTGTAAAATTTTTATATAATTAAATGAAATGTGTATATTAAAATTTAAAACTAGTAGCATTATATGTTTTGGACCTATAATTTTTAAAATTTAATGGTTCATATTAAAAACCTAAAAGTAAAACCAGTCAAATTTATATTTAAGAAACATTTTTTTTGTAATTGTGCACCCATCTTGCGAAAATCCTGGATACACCTCTGTTTACATATTCTGTGTGTTCGTTATCATATCTACGTATTGTCATTGATAGAAAAAGCTTCTAATTTGTTAATATTACACTTTGCTATGAACTTCCTACACAAAACTATTACTCCCAATGCCAACATGATTTAACAAGAGCAAATAATTAATAAACTAAGAGAAGTAATGAAAAATAAATATCGATGTAAGAACTTGCAGGCCTGAAGAAAGAAATACACCACCAACTACTAAATATGTGCAAACATTCAAGGATAGTGCAAATAGAATGTATCCTGCATTAAAAAGATTTTCTATAGTGACAGCAGATCTTCGTTCTACTGTGAAGCTAGCAAAGTTTCATTCTTGGCATGGGATATTTGATGCTTAATTACGAGAACTTAAATTTCAATTATACATGGTTACATAAGCTACATATGATGTCTTTCCCAATTGAGATGTGAAATTAAAATGTGGTAAGAGCATAAACCAATAAGCAATGAGAAACTAATCCATACCTCCCATCCAAGATATATGCAATTCTATAACGCACAACATTTAGAATCTATAATATCTAATTCTAACAATGGAAGTTTTCATATCGAACTGAAGATGATTTCTTGGCTTCAATGTGGCAATAGACACTCAATGTTGCTCAACAAGATTTTTAAAAAGGGAAAGCAAAGTGAAGTAAACAAAAATAGAAAGCTTGTGAGGAAAAAGAATAACTTACATTTGTTTTAATCATTAAAGGCATTCCCAATCGATCTCTATGTTCGAGATATGAGCACTTTCTGGCCAATAATATTCCCCCTTGTCAAATTCTAGTAGTGGTTTGAGCAATGGGTAGTCGGAAACATATAGTTCAGAGAGGGAAGAGAGCATCCCTTTTACGGATTTGAGATTAGGGCAATCCTTGATGATCAGCTTAGATAGGGAAGAGGGCATCCCTTTTACTGGAAGGGATTGGAAATTCGGGCAATCCTCGATGATCAGCTCAGAGAGGGAGGAGGGTAGTGCTGATTCAGGAAGTGATCAGAGCTCATGATGGCGAGATAAATGTAGCTCATAAAGAGATGAGGGAAGCCGCCCTTGTTCCATCATTGACTGAATTTGAGGTAAATCAACCATATATATATATTCAAGAGAGGTGAGGCTTTTGAGAACTTGGCTGCTTAATGTTTTCAGATTGCGTATGGTAAGTCATTGAATAGAGCAAGGCAACTCCCAATGTTCTATCTCTTTGTCACTGCCATCATGTGCGATCACTAACTCTCTGAGACAGGGTAAATGCCACACCTTTCGACCATTCACCAGTTTCGTGTAATTATAGATCTCAAGTACTTGTAAATTGAAGGATAATTCTCCTTCAGGAAATGACACTGTTTCTGGACAATTCCACAGATTCAGTGTTTTAAGAGATGGAAGGAGTTGCTGCATACGTTCTGGCAGCCACTTCAGCTTTGAACAGTTGAAAATGCACAAATACTTCATCTGTGTCCCCGAACATGCCACCGAAGTTATTTCAAGATTCTCACAATTCCAAATATGGAGACTTTCAGTGGCAGTAGGAATCAAAAAGCTAGTAAGGTTGGGGCAATTTTGTACCCTCAATTTGCGTGCTCTCGGGAGCAAGTCACATTCTTGCAGTGTCAAATCCTCCAGAAACATGTTAGAATAACTCATCTCACAAACTGGCTGCTCCAATTTCAATTTCTGGCAACGAGATATCCGTATTGTCTTCAAGTTACTCGGCAGAATGCTAAAAGGTAAGGAGGTAAGAGAGTTACAATGAGCAACAGATAATTTAACAATTCTGTCAGCCTGCATTCCTTGAAGTTGGGATGCAAACAGTGCAGCGTCGTCGAAAAGAGGTGTCCTTGAAATGTTCAATTCTGTCAGAGAAGAAAGATTTTCAGGCAACTTTCCCATCAACTTGCAATTGAAAGCTTCTCAAGTTTTGGGAACTCGCCACTTCCTAGTATGTGCCATTGCTTCCACTCTGGCATCTTTACAAATGCAAGCTTTTCGAGAGAGTTAAAAGGCTTTTTGGAGGACAAACTACCATAGAATTCTTCCGTCACCTCTGTTATTCGATGCATCTCTCTAATTGAAAAGAATTTCAAAGACGGAAGCTGTCCTAGTTCTGGCAAGGAATCACAGTCCTTGCAATTACCAATAGACAATTTCACTAGCTTAAAAAAGGAATGATCAGCTAGCCAATTTGGAAATTTTGTCCCTCTATATCCGGTGATTTTGACTTCTTTAATGTTTATGTTTGGTTGTAGCTCATCAAGTATGTTCTCTTTCAGTTTGTGAATTGTCAGCACTACTACTTTCACTCCACCCCAAAGATAAATTATCAACATGTTCCTTTCCCCTCATCTTTGCCTTCCGAGCTTCCCTTCTATCAACCACATTTTGCAACTCTAGAATTGATAGAGATCCATACAAGTTATGTACTTCACCCAAATCTTCCATTCTCGAACCACCGCCACCACCTAGAAGAAACTTGACTCCAACTAGCACTTGGAGGCTTTTCAACTTGCTCAGATGTAGCGGCATCTTCAACCGATAAGTGTTGCTTATGTCAAGATGATGTAAGTTGATTAGCTTTTCCATCTGCAGCGGTAAATCCCCAAGACTACTACAATGTAACAGGAGAAGTGTCTCTAAGTTATACAACACACAAATGGAATCTGGCAACTTTTTTATATCCGTCTGAGAAAGGTCCAAAAATCTGAGGAAGTATGTTAAGCTGCATCCTCTTGCTTAGAGGGTAACAATTATCGACATCAATACATGTCGGAAGCAATGTCCTCAGCTGCTCCAATTTGTAGAGTGGTGTCAATTTCTCAAAGTCACCATATCTCATTGAATATGATAAGTGCTGACTTTTTTCCAACATGTGAGATCCTTGGCTCTCTTCAAACCTGATACAAAGTTTTGAAGATGCAATTTGGGCTAAATCGTTGACAAGATCATGCATTAAGAATTTCTCTATGTTCCCTTCAGAAGGATTTGAGACCCTTTCGAATAATGATCTTCATCTCAACTCGAGAAAATATTGGTTGCCTGAATCTTCAATTATTTCATCTTTATGTGGTACGAGACCATTGGCAATCCACAGATGAATAACTTGTTCTTTCCTAAATGGATAATCTTGAAGAAATATTGCACAATAGGAAAAACATCTCTTTAAATGTGCGGGAAGATCATTGTAGCTCAACACCAACGCTAGTAATATGTCATTGTGTGGCAGCACAATGTTTATTTTACCTGTTGAATGCTAAGAGTATTATGTGATCAAGAATGATTTCTCTCCTTCTCTTTTGCTACTTGTCTTGCTTGTAATTAGTACAACTATGTTTTATCTACACTCTACAGCTGACAGCCATAGAAAAAAAGAAGTAGCAAAACTGTCCTTTTGCCCAGGGTCGTCTTAACCCCTAGGCCACTAAACCCATCGCTTGGGGTCCCCATTTTTTAAAAACAATTACTTATATATGTTATTTTTTAAAAAAAATAAATAATAAAAAATATATATATGTACTATGAAAGTTATGATTTCTACTAAGGAAATTACATATGAGATGAAAATAATCTTGAATTTCGTAAGAAACAATTTGATGAAAATGTGGATAGCGAAATCACAAAGTCCCTTGAAGAACCTTTTAGAATTGATTGTTTTATATATGTAGAGTAGATCAAACTATTTTTTCACTTCAAAATAGATTTGAACCAATTGAAGCATATGGAAATATTTTTGATTTCTTATTTAGTGGTAAAATATTGAGATCACTAGATGATGAGAATAAAATAAAAATATTGTCTTAACCTTGAACTTTCTTTATCATGTAATAGTTATTCTGATATTGATGGTTTAGATTTATTTTTTAAATTTAAAGTTTAAAAGTGTTAAGGGAAATAATACAAGTAGAAGATAATGATCTAATTAAAATACTCAATCAAATAAAAAGACTTGATTCGTTTCCAAATACACATATTGCTTATAGAATAATGTTAACAGTTCATGTATGTTGACTTAGCCAAAAGAAGGTTTTTACGAAATTAATATTGATTAAATCTTCTTTAAGATCAACAATGTCTAAAGAGAGATTGAATGAATTAGCTATATCATCATTTGAAAAGAAATTATTAAAACAAATTGATTATAAAACAGTATATAATGACTTCGCATCTAAAATATCTAAAAAAGTAGATTTTAAATAAAAGCAAAAGTATATATGATGGGGAAAAAATAGGGTAAATTACATAAATCCCATAGTTTTAATATGAAATTACAATTTATCCCTAATAAGTTTCTAATTACATTAATTCCTTAAGAATTAAAAAAACCGGATACAATAATTGAAGCTCGGATACATTAATATGTAGCTCGATACATTAAAAACTAGCTCGGATACATTAAATACTGGCTCGGATACATTAATATATAATATGTAGCTTGGATACATTAAAAACTAGCCCAAATACATAATATGTAGCTCGGATACATTAATACTGGCTCGGATACATTAATATGTAGCTCGATACATTAAAAACTAGCTCGGATACATTAAATACTGGCTCGGATACATTAAAGAATAAGGGATTTTGGAGATTTTTAAAAGTAATAGGGGATAATGAAAATAAGTGAAACAAAAAGGTGTGTATTTCTGTAATTTGTCCAAAAAAATATTAGGGCCCCTCTCTTAAGTTTCGTTTTAGGCCCCCAATGTTGTTGAGTCGGCCCAGCTTTTGCCCAACAAAAGAATAATGGAGTGTGGTTTCTTGACTATTCAAAAATAAAAGAGCTTAATATGAAAGGCGGAATGACCTGAGAGGCACCTGTACATGGCTCCGTTTATCACCTAGACACTTCAACTCACATCTTTGTCAACTGAACACTTAAAGTTACTATTATTGCACTTTGCCTGATGACATAAAAAAAAGCATTTGCTAATATATTACAGAGATTGAGAATAGAAAGCAAACATTAGTAGTTCTAGTACAACATATATTTTTTTAGAGATTAGTATATAGGGAAAATGCATAAGTACCCCCCCCCCCAATCTATGTCCAAAATCTCAAAGACACACTTATACACACTAGTATCTATAGAAAACTTCGTTTTACATATTAATTGCTAAATAATACTATAAAGAAGTTGTGTGTTTTAGTAGAAATTACCAGCAAATTATAGTTTTAAACAAGACATTTTCTTTTTCTTATTCTTGCTAGAGATAAGGATAAGCCATCTAGTGGTGGATGTGTTTGTATAGTTGGCAATCATAGGGAAAAAAATATTTTTTTATTTTTTCTCTTTTCATATTTTTTTTCCTCAATAATTGTTTCATAATGTATCGTCTTGTATTGTATTGTAATTTTATTGTTTTGATGAATACAATGTTTGGATAGATTGTATGTTTCTCTGTCGTTACATAATGTCACACATCCATGATTTGAGTGATAAACCTACAAGAAAAGTAGGGTACGATGTAGAGCTATAATGAAAAGGTAGGATAAAAAATGAAATATGATTATTAAATAATAAATAAAGATAAATGAGATGAAAATATAAAGGTAACGACGCCCATCATTTTTAATTCGTGCCGATAGTTTTGCAAAATCTTACTATTTGGTTTTCTAATTGTATAAATTCAGAATTTGTATAATTCAGTCCCTGATTGTATAAATCCAGAATTTGTATATACTTGCCCTAGATATTTGTATACGACTTATGAATAAATTCATAATTAATTATCCTGTTTGTATATTGGCAAACGAAACATACAAAAATTCCTAAATGTATAAATACATAATTTGTATATACTTACCATTGTTGTATATTCACAAGAGAAATATACAAATGGGCAAGCGAAATATACATATTGCAGCCTCCATTTGCATAAACTTACCATGTTTGTAAATTTGCAAGCGAAATATACAAACCACTATCTCCATAGCAAACAAAACTATAGCTATGAGGGCGCAATTATCGAAAATATAGCTATAGAGCCTTATTATGTCTATTATCTTTGCTATTTCTGAAATTTTCTCTATTTTATTTATATATATAAAGTAACTTTTTAAACACATACATAATTTTGATCAAAGCTATTGGATTATATCAAATTCATAACTTTCTCTCTAACTTTGTCCATGTATGGGAAGATTTCCATTAAAGAAAATATATTATAAAGAAGAGAAAGAAAAACTAAAAATAAATAAATTTTAAGCAATATAAACTGATATACATAGACATCATTTAATCTGTAATAACATAAAGAAATTAGGGAAAAATAAGCAAATACCCCATAAAAGCAAAATAATTACAAACATATATCCCTTTACATTCATACCCCACTAAATAATTACACTATATACCCCGTTTACTAATTTCACCCTTAATGAATGGGGGTATGGACTGTAATTATTTATGAGAGAATGGATTTTTCAGGAATTACTTTTGATTTAAGTATAAACTTGTAATTATTTTAGATTTTATTGCCCATTTATGTAGTTTTCCCAAGAAAATTATGCAAACATATTTCACTCCTCAAAATCTTCCCTGTTTCTTATACTTTTTTATATTCAAAGTACAAGGAATGTCATTCACGGTTCAACAACAATGAATATTTCACGATCAAGAGTATAATACTTTTTAGTAGTGGTTCTTCTTTATCATATAAATTAACGATTGAAATATGATTAAAAAATCATTTCAATTTAATAGACTTCTTTCTATATACCCATGAATTTCATTATATTTAGAAATGATACATTGAAAGAATCCGTTAGGTTTTCCAATATCAATAGATTGATAGTTTCTTTCTTGTATCTTTCCAAAGGAAAAAAAGATCTCGGAAAGAGTTCAACAGTAGTATGTCGTTGATTGCTTTCCTTATTTTATTGTATGTGTAAATTATCTTAAGGAAAGCCTTATTGTTTCCTCGTGTGAGGATTGTATAACTTGTATCTATCCATTATTAAATGATTTCACTTAATAGACTCTTAAAGGCGGCCTCTTTGAAAAAGGGTCGTATTAGTTGTCCTAGTGTAAAGAGTCAGTATTGGCCGTTGGCATTACCGAGGTAATATTGATTGATGCGGTAAGGGGCATTTTGGTGATTTACATTGAATTTAACCTACTTAAGAGGGTTGTAACGTTTACATGTGTTATTCTTTCATTCTCGGTGTTGTCACATTCTTATAAAACCTACCTACTCTTCCCTCTTTATTCATCTCTTCGGCTTCTCTCTCGCTCTCGCCGCTTAATTTATGTTCTGTAACAAGGTTAGTTCTATTTATCCTATTTTTCTCTT